CAGCTGCAGCTCCCTGGGCTGTTTGGTGTCCCTGTGTCCCCTGCCCTGGCTCAGCTCCTCTCGGGATTTCTGCTGGTCACGGTGACTCTGAGATATGTACAGATCTCTTTTTCCCAACCCGGCAGTCGAAGAAGGAGTCAGAATTTTTCTGCTCTCGTCCTCAAGGTTATTTATTATTTCTTATCTCTATTATTCTTTCTCCGACCCACCATGGTCTGTCTGAAGCACATGGTTGGGTTGAGGCACACTGACCACCTTGGGGTGGTGTTGGCTTTTTATACTAAAAACTACGTGTACTTTATTTACAATAACTTCCCAATACCTATCACCTATGTTAGACAGTCTGTCTCTACTCTAAACCAATCCAAAAGTGCCAACATCACCCAGAAGATGGAGGCCAAGAAGAAGAAGGAGAAAGGCTGGACATGCCCAGATTCCTCCATCTTGCCCCTTGAACCCCCATTCTAAAAACCCCAAAATTCTACTTTTTCACCCTGTGATAAACTAACTATCATTCTACTTAAAGTCTCATGACTTGTAAATCCTCATATAAGGTTGGTAATTGTTTCCATGGGTTAAAATCCAAGGCACAGGTGTTTGTGACTCCGTGCCAAGGTCTCTGAGCCCCCTGCCAGGGGCTGGAGCCACCCAGGGCACCCAGAGCAATGTCCTGGGTTCCAGCAATGTCCTGGGCTCTTCCCTGCCTGGGGGTCTCTGTCCCAGTCTGAGCCACACGCCCGGGGCACCCCCAGCCCCCGGGGGTGTCTGTGATGGGGCAGAGCCGGCCTGGCCCCACTCTGACCCCACTGCCCGGCTGCAGAGCCCGTGCCAGGCAGGAGCTCCCTCCCAGCTGCTGCCCAGCCCGCGGCCAGGAGCTCCCTGGTGCTGGAATTGCTGCTTTTGTGGCTGCCCAGAGCCAGGACAGCTGTCGTGCAGCATCAGTCAGGAGGGTAATTACACCTAATCACGTGTAATTATGTGTAATTCCATGCCATTCCGTGCAATTCTTTGCCGTTTTGGTGACAGTATGCTGGGGTGGGTTCAGCCTGTGCTGAGTCAGCCTTTCCCCAGCCAGGGACTCTCCCATGGGAATTCCTGACCTTGCTGTGGCCTGGAGATCTCCACATCCCCTCACCTTGCTGCCACCACACACCCACCCCGCGGTGGGACAGGGTCCCTGGTGGCCCTGGCAGGGCTGGGGGAGCAGATGGGCTCTGCTCCCAGAGGGGGTGAAAAACACCAACCAATTGTTTTAAAATTTCAAAGGTTTAATAGTAATAAAATGGTTATTAAAACAGTCATAAAAATTAGAGTAATAATAATTTGGACAATTTGGATTAGGGCAATATGAGACAATAAGAACAAAGAGTTACAGACATCCAGGTGCCTTTTCTGGGCAGCATAAGCCTGAAAAAGGCCCCACGTTAACAGAGGATTAACCCTTAAAAGCAACAGCCTGTTGCATATTCATACACATTATCCATGATGCATAAATTCCATTCAAACACAGGATTCTGGCTGGGCAGTGTCAGCTGCTTCCTCTGAATCCTAAGGGTGTCTCCAGGGCTGAGCAAGGCAGGAAGAGTTCATTTCTCCTGATAATGGAGCAATAAATTCTCTTTCTCTGAAAGATTCAGGTGTCCTGTGGCTGCTATCCCACTGCGAGTCCTTTCTTTTAAAAAAAGTATCTTACATAGCATCGTTTCTATTTTAACAATTTTTATAACCTAAAACTATATTTAACACAGTACTTAAGAGAATTAAAACAGCATTACTTTCTAACACAACACATATAATATTCTGTTCAATATTTGCGAAAAGCCAATCATAAAACACATGCATTTTTCACAGGTTATAACAAAATGTTAAAATAGAAACTCTGCTATGTAAGATACTTTTTAAAGAAAGGACTCGCAGCGAGATAGCGGCCACAGGACACCTGAATCTTTCAGAGAAGAAGAATTTACGGCCCTTTTATCAGAAGAAATGAACTTCCCACCTTGAAGAAGGATTAGGATTCAGAGGAAGCAGCTGACAGTGCCCAGCCAGAATCCTGTGTTTGAATGGAATTTATGCATCATGGATGAGGTGTATGAATATGCAACAGGCTGTTGCTTTTAAGGGTTAATCCTCTGTTAACGTGGTTCCTTTTTCAGGCTTGTGCTGCCCAGAAAAGGCACCCAGACTGTCTGTAACTCTTTGTTTCTATTGTCTCCTATTGTCCTAATCCAAATTGTCCAAATTATTATTAGTCTAATTATATTGCTATTTTAGAACCATTTTATTATCATTAAACTCTTTAAAATTTTAAAAAGAAGTGATTGGTGTTTTTCACAGGCAGAGAGGGCAGTTAATTGAAACAATTAATTAGCTAGATAATTAATTGCCTGCTGCTTCTGCATGAGGCACTTAATTGTCTAGTTATTTATTTATTTAGCTATTTAGCTATTGGGTTGTTTAGTTATTTATTTAGTTATTCCATAAATTCATTAATTAATTACTAATGCCTTTAATTATTTAGTTATTCTGGAAATTCATTATTTAATTACTTAGTTATGTGATTATTTAGTTTTTCAGTAAAATCATTATTTCACCAGCAGCCACAGCCCAATCTCTGTCACCCCTGCAATGCAGGAGCCGCCACAGAAATCACCAGGGCAGCAACAGGGAAATTCCTGCGGGTTTGTGGAATTTGAGCCGCAAGGACCCCTTTGTGCCACCTTCCCTGAGCCTCCTCCTCCCTCCGGGCTGGAAATGCCCTGGGACTGAGCCAGCTCTGCTCCTGGAACATGGGAATTGGGGGATTTGGGGTGTGAAACTGGGATGGGAAGTGGGGGATTTTGGGGTGTGAATTTTGGAGCTGGGAATGCCCTGGGGCTCAGCCAGCTCTGCTCCTGGAACGATGGGAAGTGGGGGATTTTGCGTTGTGAAATTGGGGTGGGATATGGGGGATTTTGGGGTGTGAAATTGGGATGGGAAGTGGGGAATTTGGGGGTGTGAAATTGGGATGGGAAGTGGGGGATTTTGGTGTGAAATTGGGGTGGGATGTGGGGGATTTTGGGTGTGAAACTGGGATGGGAAGTGGGGGATTTTGGGGTGTGACAGTGGGATGGTGAGTGGCGGGCTCCTGGTGCACTTTACTGAGGTGTGTGATGGTACCTTGAGTACCAGATTTCCTATAATTGCCCTTTTAACCCCTTTTACAATATAACAACCAAACTAACAGCACATGCTTAACAATTATCAACTATTTTACAACAGTTTCTAATCTATTTTTAACAACCGGGTCCAGCCTTCAGCTGAGGCTCCCTGCAGCTCCTGCCCTGCTCGAGGCTCTGGCTCTGCCCAGGAGGAGCAGCCCCAGAGGGAGCCCAGCTCACCCCCGAGGGCTCACAGCATCATCCAAATCTGTGCTGGCGTTCACAGGGGTCCCAGGACAAGGGGAGAGATGAGAATCCTGACTCCATGGTTCAGAAGGCTGATTTATTATTTTATGATATATATTAAACGAAAATGTTATACTAAAACTATACTAAAAGAATAGAAGAAAGGATTTCATTAGAAGGCTAGCAAGGAATAGAAAGGAATGATAATAAAATCTTGTGACTGACCAGAGAGTCCGAGACAGCTGGACTGTGATTGGCCATTAATTAGAAACAACCACATGAGCCCAATCCCAGATGCACCTGTTGCATTCCACAGCAGCAGATAACCATTGGTTACATTTTGTTCCTGAGGCCTCAGCTTCTCAGGAGAAAAGATCCTAAGGACAGGATTTTTCATAAAATGTGTCTGTGACACAAACCCTCCCTGCAGCTGGAGCAAGGGGAATCCAGTCCAAACGCTGCATTTTGAGATGCATGAGGCAGCAGAGAGACACAACACCAATATTTGTAATTGTGAGGTTCCTGTTGAACATTTCCAGAGCAGCTGCAGGAGGGATGGTGTCAGAGCCTTCCCTGCAGCCAGAATCCTCCTGCAGCAGCAGAAGCTCCTGGTCCTTGCTGCCCGAGGAGCTGCGTCTCTGGGGAGGAGGGAGATGTGTCCCGGGGTGAAGGAGGGATGGGGAAGGAGGGCTTGGAACTGAGATCACTGCCGCTGGGTGGGGCAGGACACGGCTCAGTATTGACTTTCCTGACAATACTTTTTGCACTTGATGGTCTTGGAAGTCACAAAATGATGGAATCATGGAATCCCAGAGTGGTTTGGGTTGGGAGGGACCTCAAATCCCACCCAGTGCCACCCCTGCCATGGCAGGGACACCTCCCACTGTCCCCAGGGTCCAGCCTGGCCTTGGGCACTGCCAGGGATGCAGGGGCAGCCCCAGCTGCTCTGGGCACCCTGTGCCAGGGCCTGCCCACCCTGCCAGGGAACAATCCTTCCTAATAATGGTTTTGTGGATCGTTGGTTTGATCAATGATCCTCCCGATAATTGCAATCAGGATGGTCGATCAGTGCCCATGGGCTGGGGTTAGGGTTAGGGTTAATGATTTTGTGGATTAATAATGATTTTGTGGATTGTTGATTTGATCAATGATCCTCCCGATAATTAAAATTGATAATTATAGTTGATAATTGTAATCACGGTGGTCGATCAGTGCCCATGGGCTGGGGTTAGGGTTAATGATTTTGTGGATTAATAATGATTTTGTGGATTGTTGATTTGTTCAATGATCCCAATGGATAATTTTAATTGATAATTGATAATTATAATCAGGGTGGTCGATCAGTGCCCACGGGCTGGGGCGGGTGGCAGAGGGGACCCGGCAGCCCGAGGGGATGCTCAGGGAGGTTCCAGCGGTGGAGAGAGACAATTGTCCCCTGCTGCGGGTAAACTCTCAGACACCCAGGGTGCCCTGGATCCCAGGCGTGCCCATCTCCTGCTCTCCCCAGCCCGGCCCGGGGCCCGGGGCCCCAGGAGAGAGGAAAATCACTCGCAATGCAAATGCTGGGAGGGCAGGAAATGCCTCCCCGGCAGTGTTAACTGCTGTTAATGGTTAATGCGCCGGCGATTTAAACCTGCCCGGCGCAGGGGCTGATGCTCGTCCTGAGGTGTGCAGAGGAAGGATCGGTGCCCCAGCCCTGGGGGGCTCCCCCAGCCGGAGCTGGCCCTCGGTGAGTCCTTCCCTGCCGAACCCCGGGCTTTGGGGCAGCGATTCTGCTGGAGAGGCTGGAGGGAGCACAGCGGGGTGCGAGAGGAATAGATTTCCATTTTCCTGGGAAGCGGAGGTGGAAAGCCTTGCTGAGCTGCTCTGTAGCCCACGCACACTCCGGCGCTGGAGGCTGGGGATGCGCCCAGGCTGATTGAATCCCCTGCTCTGGACCCACGCTGGCTCCGTCCACCCGGGTGACATGGGTCTGCAGGTGGGAGAGGCGACTGTGCAAATATTTGCCATGAGCTGAAGGTCTTTGCCGGCCTGAGCCGTGTTTTCTGTGGGCTTTTGGTTCAGGGAGCTGAGAGTCCTTAAGCGCTTAGAAATGCAAACACGTCTGGCTCGGGTACCTGCTGCTTGCAAGGAAAGTAAATCAGGCTGCAAGCAGGGAAGGTTTATCTTTGGCCCGAATCCAACTGGTTTTCCTGCATCCCAGCCCTGGCCTGGAGCTCTTCTGATGTATGATGGAGTTGACACAGGGGTAAGATGGGGGAAGCTCATGGACCCAGCAGTGCTGTGGTGGGAACTCCCCAAAGCCCTTCTGCGGAGGATTTGCAGCTTGGCTGGTTTGCATTATTGAGATCTCCAGAGATGCCCCCAGGCCATCAGTGCTTGCAGGGGGGACGGTGCTCCCAGCTCCGGCTGCCCCAGCGCTTCAGGGGCCGGGAAAACTGCGCTCAGAGCCTGGAAGGGCTCCAGGGCCAGCATCAGTGCAGAGCTCTGCCCTCGGGGTGTCTCCCTGGGGTGTTTCTGCTCTGCTCTGGGCCAGAATTTCTTTGTCCAGGGATCCCTCTGTGCAGTCCACCATGTCTTTGTCCCCCTTAATGAAGGAGCGGAAAAGGAATGAAGCAAAAGGCAGGAAAAGAAAGGGCTCCCTCTGCTCCAGAGCCAGGCTGGGAGAGCTGGGGCTGTTCAGGCTGGAGAAGGTGACCCTGGAGCCCCTTCCAGTGCCTCAAGGGGCTCCCAGTGAGAAGTGTGACCCTCAGAGGTGCAGTTGGGTGTCAGTCACATCCCAGACACTGCCCAACATCGGTGCTGGGGAAGGATTTATTCTTGTGTTTGGGGTTTTACAAGGAACTTTGGTCTGAGCAGGGTGAGAAAGAGTGTCATTCCACCTCCCTGGAGGAACCTGGAGTCCCATCACAGACACAGCTCTGTGTGTGCTCACAGATGGAGCCACTGGCTGGGACAAGGCTGAGGGTGACTTTTATGACTGTTTCTATGACTTTTACAAGGGTTTTGTGGCAGTGGATAAAGCAGAGCTGGAAAAAGGCCTGACCTGTTTAGCAGTGGGAGGGCACAGATGTTTTTCTTCCAGCCACACTTGGTAGGACTGGCAGTGTGATGGTGTTTGCAGGGGTCCCAGGATGAGGGAAGAGACGAGGATCTGACTCCATATTTCAGAAGGCTTGATTTATTATTTTAATATATATATATTATATTAAAACTGTACTAAAAGAGTAGAAGAAAGGATTTCATCAGAAGGCTAGCTAAGAATAGAAAAGGAAGAATGATAACAAAGGCTTGTGGCTCAGACAGAGTGTCTGAGCCAGCTGGGCTGTGATTGGCCATTAATTAGAAACAACCACATGAGACCAATCCCAGATGCACCTGTTGCATTCCACAGCAGCAGATAATCAATGCTTACACCTTGTTCCTGAGGCCTCTCAGCTTCTCAGGAGAAAAAATCCTAAGGAAAGGATTTTTCAGAAAATATCATGGCTACATGGCAGGACGAACAGGGTCCTTTGTCCAGAATACAGCGAGGGAGGGCAGCCCGTGGGGCAGAAGGCAGGAGCCTTGTCACCTGTGTCCTGCTTTGCAGCATCTCTCAGGTGTCATGGGCAAGGCCAGGCTCACAGGGCTGGTTTGTCCCTTCTGCTTCCTGCTTAGAGCCGGGTCAGGCCGGGGCTGAGCCCGGGAGCGCCATGTACGAGCTCAACGAGAGCAGCTTCGACCCCATCACCTTTGTGCTGACGGGCATCCCGGGCATGGAGGAGTCCCACATCTGGATCTCCGTGCCCTTCTGCCTGATGTACCTCACCGCTGTGCTCAGCAACCTGCTGCTCCTCTTCCTCATCGCCACGGACCGCAGCCTGCACGAGCCCATGTACCTGTTCCTGGCCATGCTGGCCCTCTCGGACCTGCTGCTGTCCACCACCACCGTGCCCAAAATGCTGGCCATCTTCTGGTTCGGCGCCAGGGAGATCTCCTTCGACGCCTGCATCACGCAGATGTTCTTCACCCACTTCAGCTTCATCGTGGAGTCCTCAGTGCTGCTGGCCATGGCCTTCGACCGCTACGTGGCCGTGTGCGCCCCGCTGCGCTACGGGGCCCTGCTGACGCCCTCGGCCATTGCCAAGGTGGCGGCGGCCGCCGTGGCCCGCGGGCTGTGCATCATGTGCCCGCCCATCTTCCTGCTGAAGCGCCTGCCCTACTGCGGGCACAACGTCATGCCCCACACCTACTGCGAGCACATGGGCATCGCCCGCCTGGCCTGCGCCGACATCCGTGCCAACGTCTGGTACGGGCTGACCACGGCGCTGCTCTCCTCGGGCCTGGACGTGGTGCTCATCGCCGCCTCCTACGCGCTCATCCTCCGCGCCGTGTTCCGCCTGCCCACCCGCGAGGCGCGGCTCAAAACCCTCAGCACCTGCGGCTCCCACCTCTGCGTCATCCTCATGTTCTACGTGCCCGCCTTCTTCTCCTTCCTGACCCACCGCTTCGGCCGCCACATCCCCGGGCAGGTGCACATCCTGCTGGCCAACCTCTACGTGGTGGTGCCGCCCATGCTCAACCCCATCGTCTACGGGGTGAGGACGCGGCAGATCCGCGAGCGCGTCACCCGCCTGCTCTGCCCCGCGGGGACGGGCTGTGCCTGCCCCGCCTGGGGGGACAGCTGCTGAGCAGGGACATGGAGGGGGATAGAACATAAGTGAATAAAGGTAGTACAGAAAGCAATCTTACCCCCTAAAGAGTTGCAGCTGAGCCAATCATTAAGGACTAGGAGCAGGCCTGATTTTAACAGGCCACACCTGTGGCCAATCAGAAGAAGAGTGTTATAAAAGAGTGGATTGGTGGGAACTGGAGCCAGTTGGCTGCTGTGAGGATGAGGAAGAGTCAGTGCCTGGAGGAGCTGCCTACAAGAAACATCAAGGAGGTACAAAACTCTGGCAATGTGGAACCCTTGCGGTGTAATGACAATGGAACTCTTGCGCTAGATATGACAGCAGGGATGGATGGGGGACAGCTCTGGGACATGGGACAGCTCTGGGATGTGGGATGGGGTCTGGAGAGCAGCAGCAAGGCTGCAGCGCTGCTGGGCCTGGAGGAGCCCGTCTGCCCAAGGGCTTCCAGGGAAGCTGAAGGTGGTGGGGGTTCTGGGAACGTGGGCTGGGCTCATCAGCACCTCCACTGCTGCTGGTTTCTCCTGGAGCTGCTTCCCCTGGATTTCCTTCACTGGCAGAGACTGGGCAGGAGCAGCTGAGAAGCATCCAGGCACTCAGACCTGCCGACTCGCTGTCACCTGCTGCAGCTGGTTATGTTTGCTGTCCTACAGCTTCATTTCTGCCTGTTCCTTCACCTTTCCAACAGAGACCACACCATGGACACCTTGTTGGTTGTCAGACTGAAGCATGGCACACCAAGCATGGCTGGATGGGCTCCACAGTGCTCACCATGGCACAGAGGGGCTTTGTCCTCCTGCCCTCACTGCTGAAGTGCTCTGAGAGCTTGGGAAAGGCTTTATTGTCCCGTGTTTGAGAGAAACATTTCCCTTAAACCATCACCCCCAAATGCAATTTAAGCCTTCAGAGCGGTGTGTAAAGGGACAGAGGTTTCCTACACCCAGCACATCCCACAGGGATGTGTCACTATAGGACATGAAATAACACGACATGGACACGCAGTTTTTGATGGTAAAAAGAGAACTTTTAATTTTTGACTCTTAACATTTATAGATTTCTAAAAGTGATAGTGGATTGATGGGTGACAGTGCCACCTCTCCAATGACACTGGACAAACAACAGTTCATTAAATTTCTCTTCTTCCATAAAAGAATGCAAAACAGCATGTTATTTACATAAAATGTGTGAGAAGTTTGTTACAAAAATGTAAACATCAGAAGGCTTAGAAAAACTTAAAAAATGGGGGCGACAGGGATGCCTTCTGTCTTGGCAGCACAGCTCTGCCTCATCCAGGCAGTGACCAGAGAGTTTGGGCTGTGGTGCTCAGGGAGCCCCTTCTGGAGGCCCCACAGCTCTCACAGCACTGCAGGAGTGGGATGGTCTGACCCGGTGCCACCTGTGAGACCCCATGAAGGGTCTGGTGTGTTCCTGGTGTTACTCCTGGGGGCAGCCAGCGCTTGCAGTCCCACAGCCCGGCTGGGCTGCAGAACCCTGTGGGACCTGCCCAGGTGGAGAAGGCTCTGCTGCACACCTGGAGCTGCCTCGTTTGGAGCGGTGGTGGCCTGGGAATGGCTCTGCCAGGACCTGGGCTCTGTGAAATGCTGTGCCTGCATCAGGGCCCTGCTGTGGGGCCATCCTGGCTGGGGCTGATCACACCCCGTGTCCTGGGGCAGGGCAGGAGCCCGGGGCACACCAGGTGTGTTCACAGCTGAATGGCACAGGGGCTGAGATCAACCCAGCAAACTGCTCCAGCCACAGCAGTGATGCTGCCACGGCCTCACAAGAAAAGGGCAAGAGACGGATTCATGGTTTCAGATCAGAACCCCCCAAAAGTTTTTCACTTTTGCATCACGTTTTTTCTTTTCTTTGTTTTATTTCCCTCTGATTTGATCAAAGGTGGCACCCTGTGACGGGCACAGGGGAAATGAAAGTCTGTTCATTAAAGGCTGTTTGTCTAGCAGCAGAGATAACGGAGCTGGTACAAAAGCTGCTGCTGTCGCTGGGCTTTTCATGTCCCCAAACCTTCGTGTTTGCCTTGGCTTTCTTAGCAAAAAGGGAAAAAAAAGAGTGTTTGCACAGAGCTGCCATGTGATTTTTGATAGGAGATGGAGCTGTGAGAAGGGAAATCTGTCAGGAGAGCACGTTGCTGTGGGCAGCTCCGAGAACAATCGAGCTGCCCCCTGGATTTGTCAATAAATGGGGCTGGGAGCAGCCTGGGACAGTGGAAGGTGGCCCTGCCATGGCAGCGATGGGATTTAAGGTCCTTTCCAGCCCAAACTGCTCTGTGCCCCCACGGCTCTGTGGATCTGGCTGCTCCTGGGATTTCCCAGGATGGTGTTACACCATGGAGGAGGCAGATTTGAATGTGAGCCCCTGCTCGGCTCCTTGGCTGGAGGTGGGGCCAGGTCAGGAGAAATTGCCCAGGGAAATGTCCCCAAGTCAATGAATCACCAGCTGGGCCATTCCTGGCCAGGGGCCCGTGCCTAATGGGGCATTAGCCAGCCAAGCAGGGAGATTTATATTGCAAGGTGGTTAAAATGTCAGCTTAATAACTCACACAGGGTGGGAAACCACAGCTCCTTGATATTTTTTTTCCAAATCTGGAGACGCCCATTGTGGTTTTAGCTCAGTTCATGGCTTTTGTGAGTGTGTTTGGATTACAGGCATCTTTGCCTGGTAGGGAGGGAGGAAGGCTCCCTGCCATGGCACAGAGTTAGAACAAGATGAGCTTTAGGGTCCCTCCCCACCCCAACCATTCCACCATTCCATTATTCTATCATTTCATAGAATTCCATTATTCTATCATTTCAAAGGGTGTTTTTCCCACATGAAAGAAGTAAATGGAATCTCAGGAATCTGTGGGCAATAAGTGGAAGTTACTGTGAAACCCTCGTGTGGCCTCAGTGAATGTTTCTGTGCTGGAGAAGGAGCTGAGCCTGCACTGGAGGGGAGATGGAGCCCCGGGCTGTGAGCCAGGCTGGGGACAGGGACAGGGCTGGGGAGGGATGGCAGTGCTGCAGGGACAGGGCTGGGGAGGGATGGCAGGGACAGGGACAGGGCTGGGGAGGGATGGCAGTGCTGCAGGGACAGGGACAGAGCTGGGGAGGGATGGCAGTGCTACAGGGACAGGGACAGAGCTCAGGGTGTGCCAGGCTCAGGGGCCCTTTCCCTCTCAGCTTTGTTTCTGTTCACAAACATGGTGCTGGGTACCTGTCCCTCATTTAGAGCAGAATTCTCTGGTTTGAGCTCTGCTCTCTCGGCACTGCCTGGCAAAGGGCAGGACAGAGGCTCCCGGAGGGATGGATGGGCAGGGGAGGGTCCCCCTCAGTGCCAGGGAGCACCTGGGGGCGTGGAGCCCACCTGGGATGGGTGGGGGGAGCCCGCTGGGAGCTCCTGGGTCAGGATGGCCCTGGATCCCTGGAAGTGCTCCAGGCCAGGCTGGATGGGTCCAGTGGAAGGGGGAGAACCAGGATGATTCCATCATTCTGTGGAATGTTAATTTAATAAAATCCTATGGGAATAAATCACGGACTCCGTTTTCTTCATGGTGGAAAAAGCCTCTTCTTTATTCATGTAACTTGTTTTTGTATCATTTTTACAGACCTCCGGTGTGACCCCAATTGGTCAGGAGCTTCCTTGCCAATTAACTTTATTGGTTAATAACAAGTTGTTATTCTGTATTGATTGGTCACTCAAACCCTGTGAGTACCTGCAGGGACAGTTCTTTATAAAAGATAGTTTTCATTTTTCCCTCTAACGGTGCAAAAACACTTTGTACAAGTGCTGGCTGTTTTTCAGGCAGGAGTAGATTGTTTTGCTAACGAGCTGCTCACACCAGGGCAGCTTTCACGAGGGAACTCGCAAAGGGCCGGCTTTGACAAGGCCAGCCTGGAGAGCAGCCTTGATTTCATGAAGCCTTTCTTGATGGTTTCCCAGCCTTACTACAACAAAATCCCACTCCACAGAAGGCAGATAATGAACAGCATCTCCTCCTTGCTGAAATGAGGTGGTGACTCAGCCTTGGGGGCAAGTGTTGGGTGCGTGGTTTGATCTCATGGACTGGAGATTCCTGCTGGTCCCAGAGGTCCCTGACAGCTCCCTGAAGGGTGCTGGCACTCAGGGAGCTGCTGACTGCAATTCCCTGCCGAGGGTCTCTGCAGGCTTCTGGGGGGTCCAATTCCAGTGGTCCAAAAAATCAGAAATGGAGACAAAATCACCTCAGAGGTTTTTAGCAGGGATGTCTGCCGACCTCCAGCTCAGAGCTCCAAAAAGTTCAAACAGTTCTGGGTCCTAAAGCACTTCCAGGCAGGGGCAGAGCTCTCACTGTGTCCCTGCCAGCCCAGGCTGGGGCAGAGCAGGTCCCAGGAGCTCTCACGGTGTCCCTGCCAGCCCAGGCTGGGGCAGAGCAGGTCCCAGGAGCTCTCACGGTGTCCCTGCCAGCCCAGGCTGGGGCAGAGCAGGTCCCAGGAGCTCTCACGGTGTCCCTGCCAGCCCAGGCTGGGGCAGAGCAGGTCCCAGGAGCTCTCACGGTGTCCCTGCCAGCCCAGGCTGGCGCAGGCACAGCCCTGGGAGCCTCTCTGTGCTCCAGGGGCAGGACATGAATTGTGCAGAGGTGGCTGTGGCCCAGGAGCATCAGTGATGGGGTGGTGACTCTCGGGGCTTCTGCTGCTCAGAGCCACCCTGAGGTTTGTTAGAAAGTCTCTTTTTCCCAGCCTGGCAGTCAAATAAGAAGTCAGGATTCCTCTGTTCTCGTTCTCAAGGTTGTTTATTTTCTGTTATTTATCACATTCTTTCTCTGACCTGCTGAGGTCTGTCTGGCAGGTTGGTTTGTGGCACACTGACTGCCCTTGGAGTGGTGTTGGCTTTTTATACTGAGATCTACATGTGCTTTATTTACAATTACTTCCCAATACCTATCACCTATGTTGGACAGTGCACCTCTACTCTAAACCAATCTAAAAGTGCCACCATCACAGCAGAAGATGGAGGCCAAGAAGGAGAAGGAGAAAGGCTGGACATGCCCAGATTCCTCC